CTACTGGTGATGTTACGTGTAACTTCTAAACTATTTGGGGAAATGACTAAGCGATATTAGGCCGCAGTTGATCAACAGCAACTCAACTCTTAACATATTTTACAACTTTATATCAATTAAATCAATCCGTTTGAAGATATTAGAAGAATATCCCGATGGAGTTAAAAAAAAATATATTTGATGCTGTTGGAGGTAAAAATCAAACTTTATAATAAATAATAATAAATAGATAATTTCTTTTTTTTTTTAAAAAAAAAAAGGATATAATTCAAAATATATATATTTTTTTTATTAGCATTAAGGGAAGTTATGCTTGTTATTATCCATTGATACATTTACTCAAAACACATTGCGAAGATTTTTCAAGGTTAAGATAATACTGTATTTGTATTTGTTTTGTATTTCCTGAAATTAATGGCATTCCTCTTTTAATTTTATATTTAGACGTGTCAAAAAGTTTTATCTTGGATACAATCTGAAGGACAATGTAGTGCATATATGATTGAACTTTTAAATAATTTAAAGCCAATATTTCTCAAGACTTTCTTGTGGATTAGAAAGTAAGAATATTTAAAATTTAAACTTAAAATACTAATGTTTATATAAATTTTTTTATTGATTGATTGTTTTGATAGGATTTGAGGAAAAGGTTACTTGGTTTTTGGTTACCTCATGCTAGTATGGTTCGACCGTTAAGTGAAAAGGTTAGCACAACTGGAATATCCTTTGAATTAATTACTTATTGTAATGGATTGACCTTGCAGATTTAGAGGAAGAATATTAAGCATCAAAAGCATTTAGGTTAGTTGCAAATTAAATTTATTCGAGTTTTAACTGGACCATTGAACTAATTTCCCTTGATTTTAGACAATTTTTATTCTTAATCTTAATCAACAACATTTTATTGTTAGTTCATCATTGAATACATTACAATAAGATTTATTAACATAATGAAGGTGAAGGTATTGAATTAATTAAAGGATTTTGAGGATTAGAAGTTTTCGGTTCGATTCTTCGAGATACCTCTATGATTAAACATTACGATCAAATTAACCAAACATTTGGTAATTTAGTAATTTATTATTTATTTTCTATATTTTCTAACAAATTTTGATACAATGAAAGGAAAAAAATATATATTATTTGCTGTAAATGTTTTTTTCAATCTACAAACATAAGTTTCTGTTCTGATGCGGTTTTAATAAATCATTTATCTCGGAAATGTTTATAAAAAAAATCTAACAATAAAATGCTTTTTATGATTTATTCCAACAAATAAAAACTTTATTATAAAAATATCTTTGTCATATATACTATATTTTACTTCTTTCCTTCTTTTTTTTCTAGTGGTAAGAACTGCGTATTTTACAATACATGTAAGATATATAATATTATTTCTGACAATGTTTCTTAATAATTAATTTGCTTAAGTTACTAGGTTGATTTCTCATATCGTTTTTTTTCGTTAAATTTTGATGTCTATTACAAATTTTAAGCACTTTATCTCCTCAACTTATAAATTCGTATAATACTTTAAATATTTCACAGCCGGATCGAACTAATTTAAGATAAAAAAAGCATTATCGTTTGATAAAGCAAAGAAACATCATTTGAATGTGAAAGTTGATGTCAAATCACATCATATTAGGACGCATCAACAAATTCTTGACATTCACTTTTCACTTTTTATTAATTCTCATTTCCATATTTTTCCTCGTCTCTACTTTTTAGAATGCAAAAAATTTGCTTTAATTAAAAACGAAACGAAATAGGTATATTTATTAGTCTGACTACTTTCCTTTGGGTTGGCTTTGTGATACCACTCCAAATTATTTGTTTTAATGCAGTATAAGGTTTCAGTACATATGATGAATAGCGCAGGGCGATTCCTTTTGTACATGCAATTTAAGTGGTTTCTTTCATAAGGTTTACTGATGATGTTAGTGGTTAGATCCGGATATTAGGATACCGTATTGAATCGATTGGTAACTAGATATCGGCAACAGAAATTTC